GGCTCCCCCAATTACAACCGGGGGATAACAGCCATTTGAAATCCTGGGTTGTAATCAACCAATAAAGTTTTTAAAACCCTTTTCCCTCATTGCACTTTTTTTCGAAAACACAGTTGAACCTTTGGAAGAACAGCTTTTTTTTTTTTCTTTCTGGTGCCCACAATAGTACGAGGTTGATTGGGTTTTTGTACAGCTTACTAGGTCGGCTATACCACTCCCTTTCAAACTTATCAATTATCTTTTCTTATCTCTATAGAAAATTTTTCCCCTTTGAGGTGTGGGGTTGGGCACTAGAAGCTTTCTTGGGGCCCATGGTCACTTATTTTCCAGAAACAGCACCGAAAATACGTAATATACGAAATTTTTCCGATTTATGCTTGGATGTTACCGGGGCGGCGGAAACAAGGGGACGAGCGGCAATGTGAGGCGGGTGAGGGCACTTTGGGGAACGCGTTGGGACAAAAATCGGTATGGGGTTTTTAATCGGTATGCGGGGGAAAAAATTTGCGATAAAAGTAATTTTTATGCGGAAAAATCCAGCTTCCATTTTTAGCGGGGGTCCCTGACATAATATATAACTAATATATTTGTGTGTGGACTTGCAAATTTTAACCTGTGTTAGTATCCAAAAAATTTCCTTTTTTAAACTTTACACTACTGTACCAGTATCAAGAAGAAAAACTGCATCAGATTATTAACCCATGATGGCCAACTTTTTTATGGAAAAAGAAAGCTAAACCCAAAGGGTCATGTACACACGTGGGAAGAGCAACAAATTGGCTGATTAAGTTTAAATTTAAGCATGTTTCTCGGGCTAGTATTTTTCCATATGGATACATTACAAAAAAACCTGGAAAAATCCCCGATTTGCCACTGTAAATAATCATCCCCCTTTAAAACTGTGTGTGTGTGTGATTAAATTTCTTTGTTGCAAAAATAATTCTTTATGTTTCCCATTTTAAACAGTAAATATAGTTCATTACCTTGAAAACTTGTTACCAATCAAAATTTGGGCCCCGGTCTCGGGACCAATTATGACCCTGTAATTTTTTTGACACCGCCCAAAGGGATGGGTATGGGGTGAAATTTAAACATTTAAACTAACTTTTGTCGGGCTTTAATTCGAAATCCCCCAGTAAAATTATCCTGACACCTCAGGTGCCCTACTGTATTAAGAAAAAATGGTAAACCTATTATAAGATTTATCAAAAATAAAAAAAAAATTTATTTTAATAAAAAAATATGTATTAAAAAAAAAAAGAACAAGAAAGTGAAACCCCTTAAGGATTCCATACAAAACAATGAAAAACCCTTAAAAATTATATACAGGTTCTTCTTTTTAGGATAAGCGAATTTTTGCTGGGCCCCACTAACGCACTTACGTGTGTGTGAAATCGGGCCTTTTTTCCTTATTCTGTTTCCCTTTTCCCCTACAGTAAAGGTGCCTGGATGTTGTCCCCTTAAAACCTTCTGTCACTTTTTTTCCCTAGCTTAAGTAGGTACCGGGGTGTTAAGTGACTGGTAGGGGTGGCTTCTGGGGGGAAAAAAATTTCCCTAATTATCAGAAATGCCTACATAAGCAAAAAGCTTTTTTATAGGTAAAAATAATGTCATCAGGTCTAAAAAAACAGATGTATCACATAACTACTTGTTAAGGGTTGCGACAGAAGTTTGCACAGTAAGTGGTGAGTAAGAAAAGAGAAAAATAATAAAAAATAAAAAAAAAGAAAAGACTAGACTAAAAAGAAAAGAAAGCATGTAATGTAAAGTAAAGAAAAGAAATTTATTTAGGAAATGTATCATAAGTACAATATCATACATATGACAATGTGAAAATTACCCCGAGGAAACCCAAAAAAGCAGTAAAATTGCTTTTTTCCATTATGGTTTGTAGGGGGAAGACATTGCCCAAAGCGCCCATGAAGAAAAACGAACGAATTTTTTTAAAACAGAAAAGATACTAGATTTCCCAACAAATCAAGTAACCTCTTGATATAATAACGCACAATTGTAATATTATAAGACCCTATTATATTTGCTTTTGGGGAAATTTTTTTTCCATCGTTTGGAATTTATACCATTATCTGTGGGGCCTCTTCCTCCCTCGCCATACCCCAGCAGGGAGGTCCCAACCCCCACACCCTCACCTGAGTTTAAAAACCACATACCCCTAAAACCTTTTAAAAATACCACAGAGGGGAAAAATGGAGTAACTAAAAGGCCCAACTGTAAATAATTTCTTTAGGCAAGGCATAATAAAATAAAATTTTAATTCAGTGAAAATTACCCCCATAAACCAAAAAAAGTAAAAGTGACTTATTTCCATTAGGTATCCCTGGAGTAAACCTGGAGAGGTTTTGGGGTCAACCCCCCCAGGGCCCAGTTTTATTTACATATTTATATCTTTTTACAATCATATGGCTGTAATCTTTTTTGGGCAGGGGTATAATGTAAAATTTATTATACATAAAAAATAGAAAACACAAAAAACCGGGAAAATTTTATTGATGTTGGGGCAAAAATGAGACGTAATTAGGAAAGTTTCCTGCTGTGTCACTTTGGGGGGGAAAAAAGATTATTATTTTTATTTTTAAAAGACCCCCAAAAATTCCCTTTTTCTTGCAAAATAAAATGAAAAAACCTAAGTCCTTGTTGGGGATATTATAGCCTAAAACTTTACTTCTTGTTGGGGTTATTTAGGGCCACTAAAACTTGTACTTTTGTTGGGGTTTTTTGGGCCCACTAAAATTTGTACTTTTTTTTGGGGTTATTTGGGGCCCAAAAATTTGATAGATCCACTAAAAGTCCAGTTTTAGAAAGCCCTAAATCCCTGAATACAGAAAAAAGATATTGATTAATCTGGGTTGTTAATAAAAAAATTTTTAGGCCGAGTCACAAAGTCAATTAAAATACAGATGTAAATTACCCCCCCCCCAGGATAGCCTTCCCAAAAAAGTCAGAGTAATTTATTTCCTTTTTTTCAAGACTGGTTTAAGGCCAAAACTAATTATACTTAGAAAAAACCCCAAAATTTTAACAGTATATTCTTGTCCACACACCAGTGTGACAGAGACAGTGTTACACGGGTGTGTGGACTGACGTGCCCAAAAAATGGTGTCTGGACAGTGACATGTCAACACTGGTGTCGGACGTGACATGTATACGAAGTGTGGAGAGAGACAGTGTATACACTGGTGTCTGGACAGTGACGGTCATACACTGGTGTCTGGACAGTGACATGTCATCCCAAAGTGTGGACAGAGCGTGCCCCACTATTTTTAAAACAAGCAATGTCACCCTGGTGTGGGACAGTGTCCGTTATGACCAATGTCTTTTAGTGGAAATAAGATCTCAAATTTTTGATATTTTTTTCCATACTGAATTGTGTACATTAACTATTGAATAATTAAAATATATAAATGATTAATACATCTTTCTAGTGATGTAACAAGGGTCACTTGAGTCTGAAAAAGCCCATTGACGTCTATAATTTTTCCTGGGTAAAGCCACAGGTGGCTCAGGACAAGAAACTGCCGATCGGGTTGCACAATAAACTAACTAAAGTAGGGGGAAAATAGCTTTCGCTGCACAACCAAATTTACACTTTTTGTAAAAAACATTGTATCTTTGGGAAAAAATCTTTGACTTTTTTTTGATGGGGACTCCATCCTGAACCCGTTGTTTGAATCCCTGGAAAAAACTTATAAGGCCCCCTCTGAATCCATGATGGAAAACTCACTAAAAACGGGGAGCCAAGAGGTAAAGCTCAGAATTATACGTTCTTTACTAAACAATTATTAGCCCACTATCCCTTTCCAGTCTGACACTAGTTAAATGGTGTCAAAAATAATTAAAAAACCCAAAACAGGTCACCAGGTTGGGGAACTGTTTTCAATATTATAAAGGGGAATGTGAAGAACCTTAGTAAACATTAGCAATTCCTCTTAAACAAATACTACGAGTATATACAAAAAGGGGGAAAAAGGGCACAATGAACCTGTTTAAAAATCAGGAGGTATGCGTACATGAACTATAGACCATAATTAAAACTTAAGATGTGGGAAAGCTGAAGAAGGGGCTTCCCCTTACAAATTTATAATTTTTTGTTACAAAGCAAAAATTTGCTTAAGGTTTTAAGAGCACCACAAAAGGACTTTTGAAAAAAGTAGCAGCACACGGATAGGTAGAAAACTTACCCCTAAAATCAATGAATTTTGACAAAATTTTCAAAAATGGGGAGAATCAGGTGAGGACCAGTTCCCAGGGGTGTAAATTCTTGGGGCACGTATATAGTAAATTCCCTAATAGTGTAAATTACCTAAGATAACACACAAAAAGGTAAAAAGTCATTTAAATTTCCAGGGGGTTCCAAGGGGAGAGTTGACCCCTTTATTATTCAAAAAATTTAATAAAGTCTTATTTTAGGGAATACATAGGATATAACAAGTTTCCCAAAGACATGAAATTGGTATCAATAAAATTGAAGAGACTAGGGGAAATTAAAAGAATTACCTGGATAGGGTTTATGCAGTAGTTTTAAAAGGGTTTTTTAAAGGACCCCTGGTGGTGGTAAAAAGCTAAAAAAACCCAGCTCTGGATCCCTGGTGGCTGGTATAAGCCAATAAAGCCCCCTTTGGATCGTGGTGGCTGGTAATAGGCTCAATAAACCCCATTTTAGGGTTCCTGGGACTGGTAATAAAGTTCAATAAAGCCCCCGTTTTGGGCTCCTGGTGGTTGGTAATAGGCTCAATAAAGCGTTGGACCCACTGTGGGGAACAGAGTCAAAAGTCCTGGTTTTAGATAGTGGTAAAAAAGCTTTAAAAAAGCCCCAGACTTGGTAAAACTTAATAAATCCTGAACGGTGAAAATAAAGCTTAATAAAGTCCGGGCTGGATAAAAAAGCCCGAATAGTGTAATAAAGCATATAAAGCCCGAAAGGATAAAAAGCCCTGGTGGTAATAAAGCATAATAAAACCCGGCCGGTAAAAAGCTAAAAAATCCTGGCTCTGGGAATTTTAAAAAATAAAGCCCCTGCTCGGCAAAAAAGTTTAAAAACCCCGGCCCGGCAATAAAGCCCTGCTCGGCAATAAAGCATAAAAAAGCCCTGGCCTGGGATTTAAACATAATAAAGCCCGGACATGTAAAAAAGCATAAAAAAGCCCGGGCTAGTGATAATAAAGCCCCGGGTCTGGGAATAAACCATAATAAAGCCCCCGGGGCTAGTCTAATTAAAACCCTGTTTGTGATAAAAAGAAAAAAAACCCTGGGCCGGCAATAAAGCATAAAAAGCCCCGGGCCCGGGAAAAACATAATAAAGCCCGGCTCTTTAATAAAGCAAAATAAAACCCTGGCTTGGGAATAAAGCTTAATAAAGCCTCTCGGCAAAAAAGCTAAAAAGCCTGGCTCTGGTAAAAAAGCAAATAAAGCCCTGGGTTTTGGTAAAAAACATAAAAAAGCCCCGGGTTTGGAATAAAACATAAAAACCCCGGCTTGGGAATAAAAAAAATAAACCCCAGACAGTGATAATAAAGCATAAAAAGCCCTGGGCTAGTGCTAATAAAGCCTTTTGGACTAGTGTAATTAAAATAATAAAGCCATGGGGTATGGCAATAAAACATAATAAAGCCCGGGCTAGTGATAATAAAAATAATAAAGCCCCGGCTAGTGATAATAAAGCATAATAAAGCCCTGGCCCGGCAAAAAAGCTAATAAAGCCCTGGGTCTGGCAATAAAGCATAATAAAGCCCCGGGTTGGGAAAAAAGCATAATAAAGCCCGGCTCGGTAAAAAAGCTAATAAAGCCCTGGCTCTGGCAATAAAGCATAAAAAACCCCCGCTTGGAAAAAGCATAATAAAGCCCTAACTAGTGATAATAAAGCTAATAAACCCCGGGGGTGTAATAAAGCCCTGGACTATGATAAAAAATTTTTTTTAAAAACCCGGACCGTGGCAATAAACATAATTAAGCCTATGTGATAAAAGCAAATAAAGCCTACTAGGTAAAAACCCAAAAAAGCCCCGGACAGTATAAAAAGCATAAAAAGCCTTTTTCCCGGGAAAAAGAAATAAAACCCTTTGGGTTGGTAAAAAGCTAATAAACCCTGGCTTGGCAAAAAAGCATAAAAACCCCGGCTCTGGAATAAAGATAATAAAACCTGGCTCTGGGAATAAAGCATAATAACCCTGGCTATGATAATAAAAAAATAAGCCCTGGATAGTGATAAAAAGCATAAAAAGCCCGCTCTGGGGGCCCTGACTACCACCAAAAGCAAAATATTACTCACCATCACCAAAATTTTAAGGTCACTTCAAGGTTCTCCAATTAATTTTTCCTAAGAAGTAAAGGGGAGACCACTCAAAATTTTTTGATCCGAAAGTGGGTTTGTGCCCACTTCCTTGGATCAAACCCCCTTGCCTCCCTATTCCCCCCGGGGGCTAAGATTTTTAAAATTTTTTAACCCCTCGGGGGAAGCGCCTCCAAATTATTAATATGTACTGCTTCGCATTTTAAAAAGCCGGTGAAAACCTTACCCAAGGAGTGGAAATTTTTCTAAAAAAACCTTTTTCCGAGGCTTAAGACACCTGTTGTCACTGTTTAACCCAGTATAAATAGTTTCCTGGGTACTTTCCTAGTTGTGGTTGCCCGGGTACTTACCTTTTGTGGTTACCCGGGGACTTACCAGTTGGGTTACCTGGGTTTTATTTTTGTGGTTCCGGGTACTTTCCTATTGTGGTTTACCTGGGTACTCACCTGTTTGGGGTTTCCCGGGGAAAATCCCTGTTGTGGTTACCGGGTATTACCTAGTTTGGGTTTCCGGGGACCCCCTAGTTTTTGGTTTACCCGGGTATACCATTGTGGTTACCTGGGTACCACCTAGTGTGGGTTTCCTGGGGACTTAAACCCATTGTGGTTACCCGGGATCCACCCAGTTTTGGGTTACCTGGTATCCTTAGTTGTGGTTACCCGGGGTATCACCCAGTTTTGGGTTTCATGGGTGTAGTCGACTGGTTGGGTTGCATCCCCGGGGAAAAATTAACCTAATATGCCGCCCAAATTCTTGCAAATAAGGAGTGCCCGTAGTTGTACTATGTCATAGGGGTCAGCTAGGTCGTAAAAGTTGCATCATGTACTGTTAAAGTTACGTTTTATAACTGTAGTGTAAGTGGTCCCTTTGGAAACGTAGGAGTAATGAGATAAAATTTTTTTTTTTCGGGGCCCCCCTGCCTTGGGGGAAATAGCCCTTGTTTAAAAAATATTAATATAAAAATATAGATATATAGTGGAAAACCCCGGGATCGACCAGCTCCCTTTTCAAACAAAGCCCCATCTCAAACAAATATGACTTGCTAGAACTTTGCTATAAACTATTTGTGTTTTTTTGCTTTTTTTGGGGTTTTTGTTTGTATTATTTTTTATAAAAAAGTCACCTGGGGCCTACAACGATTATGATAACAGCCAATCAAACAGAAAAAATTGTTGGGAAGAACTTTTTCATCCAAAAAGGAGGGCACTCAAACAGAATTTTTGGAAGTTTTATAATATAATAACATACAACATAGCATATAAAACTCAAGAATAATACATACATAAACCAAGTCATAATGAAAAACTGCCTAAATAAACAAAGAATTTGAGAATTACGGAGACTTGAAAACCCTGGGTTTAAATTTCCGGGGAACTAGGAAAAAAAAATGGGTACTATGCAGTTATTTATAATTTTTTTTTTTATTTAAAAAACCTAAAAAAACTTATAAGCAAACCCCATATTACCTCCCGGGGCCCCAATGGAAATAATCACTTATCTGACTTTTTTTTTGGGTTTTCAAGGTAATATCACTAAACCCAGGGATGCTACACAAAAGAAAATTTATTTAAGGGCCTGTACCTAAAAGAACTTACCATTTTTTTTAAAATTAAAATAATTTTTACTATTGGGATTTTGTAACGGGTTTATTTTTTGAATGCAGATTCAGCCTTTTTTAAAGCGAACAACAGTCACAGTAGCAGTAAAGGAATTCAAAGGGGCAACAGAGAGAAATCCAGAAGCGGGAGGAAGTGGGTTGGGCATGGCTTTTTTGGGTGTTAGGCAGGGGCTTCGAGCAGTCCCCTTCTGGGTGAGGCTGTATTATTTACTTGATTTGTTGAGTTTATTGACAAATTAAAATTTATTTTATTTTGTAGTTTACTTTTAAATTTTTTTTTCTAAAATTTATTATTTTTATAGCATTATAATGTTATTTTTTTAATTTTATTCGTCCCTGTTTCTTCAAAAAGGCTTTTGGCAGGCACCTAAAAGTCAGTACCTGATCACTGGGCTGTGGGGCATACATAGGTTTAGTGCAACCATCAGTAACAGCCTGGGTTGATCGGCCCGATCCACCCGAGGCCTGGTCACAGACCAGGGCCCTGGGGGGATTTACCCCCCAAAATCCTCTCCAGGGGATACTCCCGGGGTCTGGCATTTCTTAAAATTAAAAATAAATTCATTCAGTAAAGTTAAGTTAAAAGGGGGACAAGGGAATAATGTGCACTTTTTGTGGAACGTTTCGCTCTCCAGGAGCTTTCAAAGCCGATCCCGGAGAGCGAAACTTTTCCACAAAAATTCACATTAGTTGCACTTGTGTCCTTTTACTTTACGTATTGTCAGTATTTCTACCAACATTGTTACAATAGTTAAGTTCCTTTTTACTAGCTACATGTATTTACATACGGTACGCATATTATTTACTAGCATTGTGTAACTACCGGTAGTTATGTCTTGTCAGGCGGGTTAACACGCCTGACAGAGTCTGGTTTATCCATGACTGACTGGCATCTGTTTGGGAAGCGACCACCAGTGTCCCGGGATGAATGGGAGAAGGAGTTCAGCCAGTATCAAGCGTTCCCTGAATACAAATTGTAAGTTTATATGTAACATTATCTGTTTTCAAAGATAAGAACATAAGAAGGGAGGAACACTGCAGCAGGCCTGTTGGCCCATACTAAGCAGGTCCTTTACAATTCATCCCACTAACAAAACATTTGCCCAACCCAATTTTCAATGCTACCCAAGAAATAAGCTCTGATGTGCAAGTCTCACTCAAATCCAACCCCTCTCACTCATATATTTATCCAACCTAAATTTGAAACTACCCAAAGTCCTAGCCTCAATAACCCAACTAGGTAGACTGTTCCACTCATCAACTACCCTATTTCTACCCTATATAGTACAATACAATTTTTATTTCTTTAAGCAGTACAAATAATGTAGTTTACATGAGTAAAACACTGGTAAGCAATAAAGAAAGTCACTACTATGCAATGCATTTCAGGCAAACTAATTGGAATGCTTAAAAACTACTTGAGATTTAGACATAAACTATTAAGTAGGAGCTTTATGCAGTTATCTACAGTCAGATCCCAATGGAGCCAAATCATGATGTAGCTACTTTAGGTATACAGTGGACCCCCGGTTTACGATATTATTTCATTCCAGAAGTATGTTCAGGTGCCAGTACTGACCGAATTTGTTCCCATAAGGAATATTGTGAATTAGATTAGTCCATTTCAGACCCCCAAACATACACATACAAACGCACTTAAATAAATACACTTACATAATTGGTCGCATTGGGAGCTGATCGTAAACCGTGGGTCCACTGTACATACTTGAAATGCAATACTAAAATATAAATTTAGGAATACTGAATGTCATAGTTTTTAAAATCGCTTCCTTCATTGAAGATATGCAGTAAATATCTCTACCAAGCCAAGCCATTAATTATTTTACGTTAGATCAATTTGCTTGAATTACCATACTAAAACATAAATCTAGGAACAATGAATGTCTTTGCTTCCTTTATGTTCATTAAGCAAAATTTTACAAGATCTAAAATATTTGTCAAAACTAAGTTACTGATAAAGTTCAGCATCAGTACTGTAAATGCTTATACAGTGGACCCCCGCATAACGATTACCTCCGAATGTGACCAATTATGTAAGTGTATTTATGTAAGTGCGTTTGTACGTGTATGTTTGGGGGTCTGAAATGGACTAATCTACTTCACAATATTTCTTATGGGAACAAATTCGGTCAGTACTGGCACCTGAACATACTTCTGGAGTGAAAAAATATCGTTAACCGGAGGTCCACTGTATATGTGGCTACATAAATAGTGGTCATAATGTTTCTTGAGGCTATCCAGCCAATCAACCTTGGGTATATCTAGTACCGCCTCTCCTCACTTAACGATGGAGTTCCGTTCCTTAGACGATGTTGGTAAACAAATTCATCGCTAAGAAGGAGCATACTATAAAGGTAGTGAATTTGTGTCAGCCATCTTCGATATTGTTTTAATGTCACCTTTACACTATTTATAAGATTTTTAGTATATTTTTAAATGTTTATACAGTAGTGTACTGTACATATATTGTAATAAACAAAATAGAGGAAATTAGCTGTAATATAGTGCATTATTTAGGTGTGCAAACTGGTCAGAGAGCTCGTCGTAAGTCCTAGTCGTTGGTAAATGAGTACATTGCCAAGTGAGGAGAATAAAAAAAAATGTAGAAATATGTAATTGATACAGAAGGGCATTAAGTTCATCACTTTTATGTAACTATAATGACTGATGCTATTCTATAGCTGTCATGTAATAATTTTCTAAGTGAAATTTTGTCTGATTTTGATCAAGCTAAGTATAATTTTTTTGAAACATTTTTTTTGCTTTTGATCAAATATGTATAGTTGTTCTTGAAACATTTGCTCTTGGTGAACCTTTATTTATAGCACTGTAGCTCTGGTAATATTGTACTTAACCATAATGTAATACTGTACAATAATGGATAGTTTTGTAAGCAACGGACTTTTATTTGTTGTTTCATAGTCAGTTTATCAGTGGATTTTGTCCTGTATATCCAAAACTTTTTAAATCATTGTTCATTAAATGAAGAGTTTATTATACTCATTTTTCCAATTTCTTGAGTAAATTTATTTCCTGTTGAATTAGTAATGCCTCCTTGCTCATACGCATAATGAACTCATTGTACCTGTTCATACCTCTCCTGTATATTATGCTTATTGTTGCTTCATTACACAGGAAAAACAGAGATATGACCCTAGAGGAGTTCAAATTTATATGGTGGATGGAATATGGGCATCGCCAGTGGGGTCGAACCATTGGCACATTCTTCCTGTTGCCTGCTGCCTACTTCTGGCATAAAGGCTGGTTCACTCGAGCAATGAAGAAGAGAGTTGTCGCCTGTGGGGTTCTTATTGGCTTTCAGGTAAAAAATATTTAAAAATTGAATTTGTCATTACACATGTGGGGGAGTGAGCTTGGTGTCACATCAAGATAACATCAGGGCCAAGTAGAGTAGGAAGCTTTATCAAAATTGTGATAAATGGCTTTATCAAAATTGTGAAAAAGCAGCAGCAGCTGCTGCTGTTGCCACCACCACCACTGCTGCTGCTGCTATTGAGTTTTCTGTAAATAATTTTAGTGTACATCATAATTTTTATAATATACTTCTATATATTCTATATATTTGTTTATATACATTACTATTATTTTGCTTACTTCATCATGTTATTTTTTATATTAGATTGGTAAAAAATCCACATAAATTTTTCCTGCTTAGAAGTCATAATTTTGCCAAAATTGCATGAAAGTTCCGCAGATTATATACCTAATACAGTGGACCCCCGGTTTACGATATTATTTCATTCCAGAAGTATGTTCAGGTGCCAGTACTGACTGAATTTGTTCCCATAAGGAATATTGTGGATTAGATTGGTCCATTTCAGACCCCCAAACATACACATACAAACGCACTTACATAATTGGTCGCATTGGGAGCTGATCGTAAACCGGGGGTCCACTGTATATACTTTCTGTTTTTAGGGTCTGCTGGGATGGTACATGGTCAAGTCTGGTCTTGAGGACCGTTTTAAAGACCCTTCAGATGTACCTAGGGTCTCACAGTACCGACTGATGGCCCATCTTGGATCTGCATTTGTCCTCTACAGTCTTTTTCTCTGGAATGCTCTTGCAGTAACCTATCCTCCTCAGAAAATTCAACAGGTAAATAAAATAAAAATTTTTACTTCACAAAAAAAAAAATCTGAATTAGTGTTATTAACACATCAGCTGTTTCCCAATAAGGCAAAGTGGCTCAAAAAAGTCGAAACACTTTCATCATCACTCACTCCATCACTGTCTTGCCAGAGATGTGCCAATACTACAGTTCAAAACTGCAACATATTATACACAAATAACCCGCACATAGAAGAGAGGAGCTTACGACGACGTTTCGGTCCGACTTGGACCATTTACAAAGTCGCACTGTGACTTTGTATATGGTCCAAGTCGGACCGAAACGTCGGCATAAGCTCTCTCTTCTATGTGCGGGTTATTTGTGTATCGTTCCAGTCACGGTATTGTGCCTTTTTTTGTTATTTACTGCAACATATTATTATTATTACATTCATGAAAAAGCATTAAGCCCACAGGGATCATACAATGCCAGGGTACTCCAAGGTGGTCAGGCTCGATCTGAGGAGGGAGAATATCGCTCTAATTTCTTGGACCAAAAGCCTTCATCTGCCTCCAGGAAAAGCACTGGAAATTAGGAAACATGGACTGAATCACTGGAAATTAGGAAACATGGACTGAATCACTGGAAATTAGGAAACATGGACTGAATCACTGGAAATTAGGAAACATGGACTTATTTTTTGAAGATATGGGCATGTGGTGTATTACTGGGCAAACAATACTCACATATTTGTGGTCTAGTCTTCACTCCGGCTCTGCTCTTAACCTTATACAACTCACTTCAAACCTTGTACACTATCCTTCAAACCTTGTACACTATCCTTCAAACCTTGTACACTATCCTTCAAACTTTGTACACTATCCTTCAAACCTTGTACACTATCCTTCAAACTTTGTACACTATCCTTCAAACTTTGTACACTATCCTTCAAACTTTGTACACTATCCTTCAAACTTTGTACACTATCCTTCAAACTTTGTACACTATCCTTCAAACGTTGTAAAACTATCCTTCAAACTTTGTACACTATCCTTCAAACTTTGTACACTATCCTTCAAACTTTGTACACTATCTTTCAAACCTTGTACACTATCCTTCAAACTTTGTACACTATCCTTCAAACTTTGTACACTATCCTTCAAACCTTGTACACTATCCTGCAAACTTTGTACACTATCCTTCAAACTTTGTACACTATCCTTCAAACTTGTACACTATCCTTCAAACTTTGTACACTATCCTTCAAACTTTGTACACTATCCTTCAAACTTTGTACACTATCCTTCAAACTTTGTACACTATCCTTCAAACTTTGTACACTATCCTTCAAACTTTGTACACTATCCTTCAAACTTTGTACACTATCCTTCAAACTTTGTACACTATCCTTCAAACTTTGTACACTATCCTTCAGACTTTGTACACTATCCTTCAAACTTTGTACATTATCCTTCAAATTTTGTACACTATCCTTCAAACTTTGTACATTATCCTTCAAATTTTGTACAGGTGTTGTGTTTGCTTCCTAATAATAGAGCTGAAAAAGTGCTTCCTAACATCACTAAGTGATGAGAGGCTGTATATAACTATTACCACTTGTTCTACCTGTTCAGAGTGTTAGAAAATCTTGATTATCAATTCTTTCATATTCTTTTATGATCTTATAATATACTAAATGTGGTTACCATGTCACCTATTTTACTTTTTTTTCAGCCAAAATGTATGGTATATGTTCAAACCTTTCAGCCTTCTGAATTTTTTTAATTTATTCTTTATAAGTAATCATGTAAGCTCATCTTAGGACTTTTTCTAGCTTATCTACATTATTTTTTAGATGTGGACTCTATACCACCACTGCACATTACATTTTTTGCTTAATTTTTGTTATGAAGAGTTTTTAAGCATTTCACAGAGAAGTTGTCACTTTATATAGATGATCTTTTGGTAACAGTGATTCATAGGTCAATTTCTTTGCCTAATACATTTTAATATATTTTTAGACAATTTATAATCCTTGTGGCTCATTTACCCTTCCTTCCATTTTCATTACATGTCATTTATCCATTTTAATTTTTTGACATCAATTTCTCACAACACTTTCTCACTCTATCCAGGTCTTTCTACACAAATTCACGGCCTCTTTGTTTTCTTTGCTCATCTTGCATAGGATTTTTTTGGCTTATCCTCAAATATGTTCACATATATTGTAATTCCTTCTGGATGGTCATGTAGGTATGTAGATTAGAAACATTACTGGGGCAAGCACCAATCCTTGTGGCACTCCACTTGGGGCATTATTGGCACAAACATTAATTGTTGTGGTACCCAGGTATGGAAATTAATAGGGCAAGCACACGTCCTTGTGACATCAACTGTTGACATTACTCCTATTAGACATTTTACCTTCTATTACTATTCACTTTTTTCTTTCAAAAAAAAAAAACATTTAATATGGAAGACAATTGGTATAGCCCTGATCCTGTAACTACAGATTAAGGCACATATCTACCCTTGTGACTGAGAAGCAGATTATTGCTCATATCACTTAGCATTATACATGACTTGATTAATTTGTCATGGGAATTCAGATTAACACAAAAGCATGTGATCCTCCAGGTAACTGCACAAGCACGGAAGTTCCGCATGCTTGCTCACATGACTAAGGGCTGGGTGTTCATCACAGCACTTTCAGGTATGACATGCTTTGCTTATATTTTTAATCGAAAACACATGAATAATAACTCTAAAGTGATTTTTGTATGTTAATTTATGCTTATAAATTTTACATATCTTACTCTGCTTGCAGCATAGAACTGACTAATTGAACCTAGAATCTGTATATTGCATGCAGTTTTACAGAATTACTTAGTTTCTTATACCCTTCCTCACAAACATTCATTTTTACATATCTGCTGAAGTATGTTCCTTTGTGTTATTGTTATTATAATAATAATTATGGAAAAGTGCCAAATCTGTACATGTCATACAGTGCCTGGGGAATGTTTGGTAATCAAGTTTGATCTGAGGGGATGGTAGAGCTCCAATTTCTTCAATGAAGAATCCTTCACCAGCATCAACCGTGAAGCAGTTCTACTGTGTTGTCTCTTATTATTACAGTGGACTCCCGGTTTACGATATTATTTCATTCCAGAAGTATGTTCAGGTGCCAGTACTGACCGAATTTGTTCCCATAAGGAATATTGTGAATTAGATTAGTCCATTTCAGACCCCCAAACATACACATACAAATGCACTTACATAAATACACTTACATAATTGGTCGCATTGGGAGATGATCGTAAACCGGGAGTCCACTGTATTATTATAATTATTATTATTATTATTATTATTATTATTATTGCATACAGCAGAACTGTTAATTTTTATATTTGTCTTATAACATGAGTTAAATTGTTTTTATTTTTTTAATTCATTAAGAAATCATTCACTGTGATTTCTGTGTCATGTGCATTTTAAGAGTCTATAATTCTGTGGTATATTTCAGGAGCTCTGGTAGCAGGGCTGGATGCAGGATTGGTATACAACTCCTTCCCAAAGTTTGCTGATCGGTGGATTCCCAGTGACCTCTTGGCCTTATCCCCAACACTAAGAAACTTTACTGAAAACCCCACAACAGTACAGTTTGATCACAGGGTTATGGTAAGTTGAAACTGTTCTTCTGTTTACCTGGAGAGGGTTTCGGGGGTCAACACCCCCGTGGCCCGGTCTGAGACCAGGCCTCGTGGTGGATTAGGGTCTGATCAACCAGGCTGCTACTGCTGGCTGCAATATTCAATATGCAATATTCTCATATATGTATTTAGGCAGACATGTTTTCAGTACAGGAGGGCCCCTCTTTACAGCAGTTCACTGTACAGTGTTTTGCTGTAAAGGGAATTATGGATTGGTGGATTATGAGAATTTTCATGCCTAGAAAAACAGCCAGAGAATGAGTGAGAGTGAATGTTTTCCTCTGTTAGGTCCCCCTACCTTGCTAGAAATTGGCTAGAAATGTGTTAGAAACCCCCCAAAAATAAAAATAAATTGAGAGTAACCACCCCTGGTAAAGCTGTCATGAACAGCCTTAATCAGCCAAACTATTATTAATAAAAATGCTTTAATTACAACAATTTTTGTTTTCCAAAGGGAACAGTCTCGGTGTGCTTAGCCACAGCCTTAATGCTGTGGTGTCGGAGAGGGATGAAACTTCCACCGCGGGCATACACTGCTGCCACAGCTCTTGGTGCTGTTACCTGGATGCAGGTGACCTTGACCTCCACCTTCTGTTGAAGAATGAGACACTTGTGCAAAATTTAAGAATTTTCATTGTGGAAATGATTCACCAGCCAGTGGCTTCTTCAGTCCAATACAGAGAAGAATGGTGAAAGATAAGTAGGAGTTTGAGGTGATTAGTCCCTCAATCTGGAGTTGATGTGTTCAATCCCTCAATCTTGAAACTAATGGACTTAACACATTGACTACAGGCTGAGGGACTGATCACCTCACCTTTCCATAATAATGATTCCCAAATGTTATACAAGTGTTTCATTCTTCAAGTTAACAGTTTTCTAAACAATTTAAATCATATTACTATATTTATGGGTAAGCACTTAACCTGTAAGGGTCATACAGTGCTTGGGTGATAATCAGGTTTGATCCATTAAAGGGGAAGGTAGGTCCAGTTCCTTGGATCAGAAACCTTTCAGCATCAAGGCATACCCTTGGAAGGACTATGCCAAAATATTCTATGTTCTCAAAATTTTTCAAGTATTTTGCACAAACTTGACATATAAATTTAAAAGACATTTTGTGTATTAAATATATTTTTGTGTTGCAGGTTGGCCTCGGCATTTCAACATTGTTACTGTATGTTCCTGTTGCACTGGCTGCCATGCATCAATCTGGCTCGCTCCTGACACTCTCCTGTGCTCTCTGGCTCACTCATGAACTAAAATATGTCAAGAAGATCCCTAAGTAAACCAAGGTACAGGAAAAAGTTCAGTGTAGTATGATGATAGATAAAGTTAGAGCATTAGTACTCATAGCTTATTAAAGAATCACAGTATGTATACTTAAGCATAATTTTGTGTATACGTGAAGTGTTTTTCATCAAACCGGCCATATCCCACTGAGGCAGGGTGACCTAAAAAAAAATGAAAGTACATGTATACATTAAGTGAAACGGCCAATTTTTATAAAATGTTAGTTATTGAAATAAATTCTCTTTGCTGTAGTCTATTTACTACTGTATTAAGAATGCAATATAATGAATCATAAGAGATTGTTGTTTATAATGTTAAGCCTTTAACCTTACATGCTTCTGGTATGTATAGTTTCAAGAGTTGTTCTGGCATTTGTCTGGCCTGAGGTCAGACTTCCCTGTTGGGTACCTGATCATCCACACTGTTGTAGCCCACAGCCTGCAGGCTCATATAGGCATCACAGCCGGGCTGATCGGCACTTTTTTGCAGAAATATATTCATTTACCTCTTGAAAACTTCTATACGTGTTCTGCTATATATTATTTCTTACATCATCTGCAACACACATTAATCCCCCACTTAATAGCCAGAATGCTGTCCGGTCACTAAGCAGCTTGTGTGTCTCATATTTTGTCCAAAACTTGATGATAAAAATGTTGCTGTGATGTTGAAAATATGTTAGAGCTTACACCAGGATTATTGTAGTAATCATTTGAAGCTCTAATCCCAAAAGGGTTGTGCAGTTCCCAGGAGGTAATCATGTTTGATCCAGTAAATGGGAGGTTGGTTCTAATTCCTTAGAACAAGAGCTCTTTATTAGCATATCTGCAACATATTTTAGTTTTAACACAGTGGCCGTCTCTCACTGTCGCAGGGTGACCCCCAAAAAAAAGACAAAGGTTTCTTTTTTCATATTTAGCAAATAATACAGAAGGGGGTTAGTAGCCCCTTGCTCCTGCCACATATATCCATATGAATTAGTCATGTTTTTTACCCAGAAATAGCTTGAAGATTAAATTTATAAATATTCAGATTATCCAAAGAAGTGTAGATGAATGGTTCGGAGAAGGGACAGGTTGATAAATTAGACACATGTGCAACACTTGGGTATCTTTAATGAGGAAATGTTTTGCCATACAGTAGCTTCATCAGTCCATACAAAAGAGAATGGTGAAGAACAGGAAGTACATTGTGTATACATTCCTAAGATATATGCTGTATGACCTTTACTTGTTTCTAAGATATATACTGACTGTATGACCTATACCTGTTTCTAAGATATATACTGACTGTATGACCTATACCTGTTTCTAAGATATATGCCTTATGACCTTTGCCTATTTCTAAGATTAATACTTCATGACCTTTATGTTTTTGGCACTTACCAGTAAATGTAATAATAGGAATAATTCAGCAAATGGAACTCAGTTCCTGGAGGTGTGCAGGGCAGTGGCTGCACTTGGTGGGCAGGACAGTGGCTACACTTGGTGGGCAGGACAGTGGCTGCACTTGGTGAGCAGGACAGTGGCTGCACTTGGTGAGCAGGACAGTGGCTGCACTTGGTGGGCAGGACAGTGGCTGCACTTGGCATGTAGGACAGTGGCTGCACTTGGTGGGCAGGACAGTGGCTGCACTTGGTGGGCAGGACAGTGGCTGCACTTGGCATGTAGGACAGTGGCTGCACTTGGTGGGCAGGACAGTGGCTGCACTTGGTGTGCAGGACAGTGGCTGCATTTGGTGGGCAGGACAGTGGCTGCACTTGGTGTGCAGGACAGTGGCTGCACTTGGAAGGAGGGATGGGAATGTTACAGTTAAACTGCAATATCGCCACATTAAACTGTAATGTCAACACACTTCTGGCAAAACAACTATTGAATGAAAAATGGTGACTGTTTCCGTTTTTTTAATTCCCTGGTGTGAGGCAGCTGTAGAGGCAAAAAATAATAATGTGCACTCCCAGCTGCTGCTATATTCAGAATGTGTTGAGAGGCCGCTAGAAAGTGCACAACATTCGCCACTCGTAGCACATGTCCTGAACTGTACAGAAGTGCCTTTTTCCACAACAAAAGTGTTGAGACTCCCAGGTTAACAATTTTAAAAGTGCCATCCAGTAATTCATGGATTTCTAAATCATTATGTCAAATCATGTCTCAAATCATTTTGGTCACACTGTCAATATTGACATGATTTGTTAATATATTTCGTATGCATTGTAGTTCTAGTATATAATAGTTTTTATATATGTAGTACTGTAATATCATCTTATGTCGCAATAGCATTTTAAATTGCAATAAAATACTTAAACATTTTGAACCTTTTTTAAACTTGAAGACAACAAAGATAGAGACTGATGAAAGACTAACATTAATATTCTTTTAATGAGTTCAAATTTGTTTCAAATTTTTTTAATAGTTTATAAGAAATATCCAAAGAAAAATTATTCTATATGTGTTTATTCAACTTTTGTTCTTACATCATATTGTTTATTGGCTTTTTCATTTGTGCTTTGAGAATATATTTAAATTATTATAAAGAAATTTATACTATTAAGGCATTACCTGTTTTACTATACTTCAATACTTAACATCAAAGACAAGTCTAATGACTATGTACATAGTGACTGACAGTCACTATGTACAACAATGTGACTATGTTTGTAGATGAATGGTTCAGAGAACCAACATGTTGATAAATTAGACACATGTGCAACTCTTGGGTATCAATAAAGATACCCAAGAGTTGCACATGTGTCTAATTTATCAATGTGACTATGTACATAGTGACTGATAGTCACTATGTACAACAGTGTGACTATGTACATAGTGACTGACAGCCACTATGTACAACAATGTGACTATGTACATAGTGACTGACAGCCACTATGTACAACAATGTGACTATGTACATAGTGACTGACAGTCACTATGTACAGCAAGTGCAACTAATGTGACATTTTATTGTGGCAACGTTTTGCTCTCCAGGAGTTTTATCAAGCCGTTACAAACAATACATGGACACAGAGGGTATATATAGGCTCAGAGTGAGGTGTAATACTAGTGGTGGAAGTAGTAGTAGTAGTAGTAATATTAGTTGTATTAGTAGTAGTAGTAGTAATATTAGTTGTAGTAGTAGTAGTAATATTAGTTGTAGTAGTAGTAGTAATATTAGTTGTAGTTGTAGTAGTAATACATATGGTAGAACAATCAACTTGCATATGAATAAAAGGTGATAAAAGCTATTACTTGGGTAGCATAAAAATAGGTTAGACAAATATTTCTGTTAGTGGTTGGATTTGCGAAGGTTTGTTTCAGTGTTCCTCCTCTCTTATGTTCTTGTGTAGTATTAGCACCAGAGATTATGTGACAGCAAGGTTTGTTGTTTTGAGGAGGATTTTTGCTAATACTTCAGAGATGGTGAAGCTGCCTTTATTTTGCTTGATAGTGTTAGAAACAGCAATTAAATGTGATT